CGCGCTTCCTGCGTTCCAGGCAGTCGCCGCGAAGTGTGCTCTATGTGCATCAGCAGCTTATGGGCGGCTTTCCCCAGCCCTGGCACGTGCCGCACTTTGGTCATGTCCCCGTTTACTTTCTGTTTCCTATTGCTGATGTCTACGTACTTCCCGTCGAGCGCGCGATAAATCTGCTTCGCCCCTTCCGCGATTTCCGCGGGAGTGAGCTGTTCGACCTCGCCTGATGCGTTCGCTGACACATACGTGAACCACGCCCTGCTCAGGTTCACAGCCGATCGAAACACAAGTTTCCACGACACGAATCCGAAGTGCCAGTCGCGGGGAATCTGGCTCTCCACGCGACGACTCATTATCCTCACCCACAGCGGCAGCTCCACCCGCGGCGCCCCGTTCCCCCGTCGGTGGCGCGGGCGCTTCATGAACTCTGGGCAGTCAGGCATTCCCGTGCAATACTTAAACAGAAACGCGAACGCGACGCCGAAATACCAGGGCTCGAACTGATCCATCATAACGTTTCCAGTGCGCACGCGGAGCCGATCCACGCGCTTCCTCTCGCGGCCGGCCTGAATCAGCATGTCACGCTCCACTGCTTCTCGCGCCGCCTCATCCGCGCTCGAAGCCGCGCCCTCGCGGACGCGGCCGCGCTTACTTGCCCGTTCTGCCTTCCAGCCGCCTTCCTCGTCTTCGCTGGAGCTCGACGTGTCGTCGGCCCCGCCATGCGCGCACTCCTCATCTAGCCGTTGCACGAAGGTCCGCACAGCCTCAATCCGGTGCGCATTGATGTCTCCCTCGTCGAAACTGCTCTTCTCACACACCACAGCGTTCGCCTTCGTAGTATCCAAAATGTCTCCCGCCTCACGTAGCCCGTCGGGCCTCGGCACGGGCGTCGCCGCTTTCTGCATTTGGATCTTCTCAAGCGCGTCGTCCAGGGGTGCCAGGCGCATGATCTCCGGCGGCATGCCCTCCTCCGGAAGCTCCATGGCTCTTTTCCGGACCTCATCCATGTCCACGTTCCTGTACGCGCGATGCCCGCGAGCCTTCGCCCCCTCGATGAGATCCACGACCACCTTCCTGCGCACCAGAGCTTGGTGCACGAACGTGGCCATGCTTGCCGCAGTATCGTCGTCGCCGCCCGACTTCAATATCACAGACACGATGCCTGCAAGCTCCGCGCCCGTGCGTGGAAGTGCCGGCGCATGCCCGTCCGCGGCAGCCTCTTCAGCAGCAGCCAACTGCGCTAGAACGTCCGTCCACGGCATCGGGAACGACGTCGCGTTTCCGCGAGCCGCAATGCGGACTTCGTTCGCACCCACTTCCATGTCAAAAGCCCGCTCCTTCCGATATCGTTTCTCCAGTGTGAAGCACACCATTGATGTGATGCAAACTGAGGCGCATTTCATCTCCAACACCGTCACCTTGCTACCGAACAGTTCTTCCGGCGAGTAGAAAGCCATCATATCATTCGCCAGCGCCGCGGGGGGCAGCGTCGCCTCGCCGCGAACGCCCACCATGGCATTCTTACACTCACCGCACAGCGGGGCTTCACAACATGTGCACGCCGTGTTGTCCGAGTGCCACGTGCCACTGCCGCACCGCATGTCCTCGGGGCAACAGAGCACGCTGACGGGCCCCTCTTCTGATGGAACCGTCACTTGCCAATGTTTAAACTCCTCCATTCGGTCTCGGAGATGAACACCGCTGCTACCCTCACCGTCGGCACTCACATTGCCGAACCGCTCCACGTACGCGTCCACCGACATATGCTCCCTCACAAACGCGCCTGACAGCCCGAACAGTCCGTCCGCGTTGGGACTCACCGCGCGCCATTCGATCGGGTTCCCTTTGCGCCCTTCCACGTGCGGAAACTTCCGTGCGCACACCATGCACACGAGAGAGTCGACGGCACCCTCGCGCAGACTCCGCGCATACACAAACAGACATCGACGATCGATCGCCAGTGCTGCAAGCGGCGCGCCCGCTCGAACTTTCCATGCAACGGCCTGGTTGTACGCACCCCAGTACTGTGCCTCTCTTGGGCTCGTCTCGTCTTCTTCGTTGCATGCGAGCGCCTCCGCGACGTCCCGTAGATCCCCCGCGTGATTGCTTACCACATGCTCCTGGAGTTCCGCGCTGCTGGACCCAATCCACCCGCATCTGCTGAAAGCGCAGTGTGCTTGCGGCAGCACTACAGCACCTCGTGAGAAGATTTCGTCGCGCACACACACACACACACTTCCGCGCACACACATTCAAACTGCACCCCCGTCCACCTTACTCCGAACGCGCACGGGCACACACACACACACACGCACACACACACAGCCAAGTCCAATCATGGGAGCCCCGTCGATTCCCAAAAGCTAATACAAGACAGGGCGATTGCACCTAACCTACACGACCCAGGACGACTCCAGAGCGGCCAAAAAAAACGGCCGAAGAGGGCCACAGGACGGCGGATGAGGGGGCCCAGAGGAGGAACCCGGGCGTAAATTTCGAGCATGCGGCCCCGGGACGCCGATGCCCGTCCGACTTACCGGAAACACGCATACGGAAAAGCAAACGCGGTCAGCCAAACGCACTGAGCAAATTAGCCGCCCTGAACTTCTCTGGGGTCGGCGGCAGAGGCGGCAACCTTTAGATTATCTCGGCAAAGCAACCTAACAGCGATGTGTAGGAGCATATCTGGAAGCATTCCCCTTAAGATTCAGATGAGAATCCAGT